TAATATAAAAATAATATGTAGGTCAACGAACATTTTATTATATTTTATTATTTTTTATTCTATATATATATGGTTTTTTTTTTACTGAGGATATCCGTAGATACATGTGACGTAGTAGGATTTTAGTTATCTATAGAATATTCTAGAACATAGATTCCCAACCTATGGTCAGCGGACCACAGGTGGTCCGCGAGACATTGTGAGGTGGTCCGCGAGCCTTACTTACAAAACTTAAAAATATTTTTATAAATAAATGTATTTATAAATTTATATTACATAGTGAAACCCATGTTATTATTTAAACAGATAATCTAATGTTTTTTTTACATATTTACATTAAGATTAGATTCTATCTGCACAATTTAACAGATTATGTTCAAAGTTGAATATAATATTGTTGGTTTTTGTTGTTAGTTTCTCCGTACCCGTATTCCGTAGTCGACTTTTGTGCTCTTTTTAATTTTTCGTGTGTTAGATTGTCGAAATATGGATCTGAAAAGAAAGTATGACGATGGATACATACAATTTGAATTTATCGCAATCGAAACTAAACGTGAAATTTAAGTGATCGACCACCAGAGTTTTTCATGGGTAAATCAGAAAATTTAAAAAAAATGAGACTAGGAACAAGTGGTTCAAGATTTTAGTCAAACGAAAAAGTTCTATCTGCGTCATTTAAAATTTCACAATTAATCGCAAAATCAAAGAAACCACGCACAATTGGTGAAAATTTATTAAAACCTTGTTTACTAACTGCCGTAGAAGGAATTTTAGGTGCGGAAGCTAAAAAGAAAATTCAAGAAATTCCATTATCGAATAATACTGTGAAAGCTGGTATTGATAAATTGTCTTTCGATATCGATAATCAATAATAAGCATTATTAAAAGCCTCTTATAAAGAAATTATAAATTTTTGTTAATGAGCAAAAAAAAAAAAAAGATCTTCCTAGTTTGCGTAAAATTGAGGTGGTCCAAGACCTATAAAATATTGTTGAAGTGGTCCGTGGTGGTAAAAAGGTTGGGAAACATTGTTCTAGAACAATTTTGTTAGTTAATAAATACGATTGATGAGCATAATTATTTTACACTCGCCGGCCGTATAAAGAAGTCGTTGGTAGTCTGCCGGCACTCTCCCCTGAAATTTGTCACAAAATAGCGATTTGACGCTAAACCATGACAAACGACAGGGGGGAAAAGTGTTTCAACAATCTCTGACCAACGCACTCACAACCGCGGATGGAAAAATCCCAAAATACAATGGGAACTGCTCCGTAATTATTTGAAAATTAGTAAAAATAAAACTGTTCTCGATATTGATTGAAACCTATTAAATAACCATTATGTAAATGTAGGTCCTAATCTTGCTTCTAAAAAACCTTTAACGAATATCAAAACCAAAAGCAATTGTTTTGTTAATTCTATTTATTTTGAACCAATTACACCTGTTGTAAATATATTACATAATATGCAAAATTACATTTTAGGTCCTGAACTTTTACTCTGCCCGATCTTTGCAAATTGTCTGGACGTCCCTGCGGCTAGCCATCTATAGCCACAAAACACAATTAACGTATACAAGTCACTATGTCAGAAACATGGACCTCAACTCACGTATGTACCTGCCATAGACCTGCAAAGGCCGTAAATTTTCAGCCCGGTCCGGTCCATGAATTTTATCCTCAAGCCCGGTCCAAAAAATATTGTGAAAAAAAGCCCTGGCCCGGTCCGAAAATAATGCTAAGCTCGTTAAAAATCACGGTCCGGTCCATCAATTTTATTCTTTAGCCCGACCCGGTCTGGTCCGAAAAATATTGTGAAAAAAAAAATATTATTATGGTACCTATATACATAGCTTTATTATACCCACCAATCAATATATTATTATATTCATTGTGATTGTATCTACTATCCATAGAGTATACTCTATATGTATCTATCGGTATCAACATCGGTTTTTATCATTTTAATTTATTATATTTTAAATTGTGATTATTTACTGTCGAAGAAAAATCCTTAAAAAGCCTGGTCCAACCCTTGATTTATTATTCGAAGTTTAGCCTGGCCCGGCCCAAAAAAGAAACCCAGGCCTGGCCCGGAATAAAATTCCAAGACTTAAAAAGCCCCGTCGAACCTTTTATTATATTTCAAAGGCCCGGCCCGGTCCAATGTCACTACGGGCCGGGCTTTTTAAGGACCCGGCCCTTGCAGGTCTTTAGTACCTGGCACCTGCAGAGAAATTACAAGGGCAAATACCGGGCCACAACTTACATTTACCGGTTCATACGTATTTACATTAGGTAAGTATAGAATATATATAAATTTTTATATAATGAATATAATATTTTTATTTTTAATTGTATGTATTATACATAACAGTATATGTGCAGGATTACACTTCAGAAAATACAATTATTTTGTTATTCTTTCAGCCGTATGCCTATAATCTATACCTATGCTATCTTATCCACATAATAATTATGAACTTAAAGATACAAAATATTTATATTGTATTAACGAAGTATTACGCACTTCAACCAACTCAATTTAAGTGTTATTAGTAGTATAGGGGTCACTATGGTACACTTTCATTTTAAATGCAAAATTCCTTAAATTATTTTGCAAATCGTGAAACGCAATAATTATTAAAATATTTTGCAAATCGTGAAACGCAATAATTATTAAAATATTTTTTCATAGAAATTGAAACGCAATATTTCCTAAAATATTTTTTCATAGAAATTGAAATGCAATATTCCTTTAATTATTTTGCAAATCGTGAAATGCAATAATAATTAAAAAAATTTTTCGCAAAACTTATGAAATGCAATAATAATAAAAACATTTTTCGCAAAACTTATGAAATGCAATAATAATAAAAATATTTTCCGCAAATCTTAATTATTAAAAATAAAAATCGAAATGCAATAATAATAAAAACATTTTTCGCAAAACTTATTAAATACACACAAAATATTTTTCATAATACTTATGATATTAATAATTAAAATCGAAATGTAATATAGTGTATTAAAAAATATTTTTAAAGAAATTGAATACCTTAGTTAAAGGAATTGATATTTATAATAAAAGATTGGAATTTATAAACAATCATAATAAGTTACAAGAAATCGAAATGCAAAACGAAGTAGAAAACTATATATTAAATAAAAAAATAAAAAAATGTTATGTGAAATTTTATGCTTTTGAACATTATGAACATTATGAAAATAATAAAATTATATTAAAATATAATCTAAATAAAATTCCAATTGAAGGAAATATTTTAATTGTTGAATACGATATTTCTTTAAAGGAAAAACCTTATGCTTCTAAAATACTAGAATCGCCAACATGGCTTGAAATTTGTAAAATAGCTAATGATTTAATAAATACAACTGGCACTTATAAATGCAATTATCTCCGTGATATTTTTGTTATTCAAGATTTAGGAAATATTAAAGTATGTTGTCTTGACATGGAATAATAATAATATAATTAAATTTTTTAATAGAATTGTTCTATTAAAAAAATGTTCAATATTTAACGCGTGTCCCATTCGGACACGCGTTATTAAAATCCAAAAATCTTTAAAAACGATTTTACACTATGATACTATGAGGGGGACTTATAAAGAATTAAAATCAAAATTGTTTAATGTAAAAATGAAGATTCTAACATAAAAAGCAACGGAGTTATATTTAAATGAAAAATATGAAGTGGGGGGTAAACTTTTAATATGTAGTGTAGATAAGTATATAAAACATATCTGTGTTGATCCGACTTGATAATATCAAATATTAAATGAAATATAGGACATATACGATCGCGTTATTTTTTAATATTTTTAATAGAAATATGGAAAAAAATGCAAAAAATCTACAAAATCATTCCCAGCTTTGCAGATACCCGTTAGGAAAAAAGGAGGCCGGAACTCTTTTACAGATATCTGCAAAGCTATCGTGGGCAGTGAAGTTACCCAAGCGCTTTATCCAGCAGGACAACAACAGTTTTTCAGTAGATTGCATAGGTGTGTGCACCCACCTATACAATCTACCGTAAACATCTTCAAAGCCTGACGAAATTAGTAGGTGAATATGCAGCGCTACACATTCCCCCACTAGTTTCAATCCGACCAAGAACACATTTTAAATCAAACGCGTTACCGACTGAGCTACAACACTTGGGCATGTATAATGATTATTTAAACACTATTTAAATAATTCGATAAAAAAACATCATAATATAAACTATACATATTGTTCCGGCGAAGGAATAAATAAGAGTGGACTGTAATTTGTGTAATTGGTTTTATTGCGAATTAAATAAATTGTTATAATTTATTTGTATGTTGCTTGTAGTCTCTGAGTAGGTCTGCCTGGGTAGGTCTTACTTCAGAGGCTCCGTTGAACAGACTGCCCGTTTCTTGCTCCGCACTGGCATTTATACCCTGGTTTCGCACTCCGCGTCGTTGCAGGAACCGCCCATGAAATGTCTGTGGTTGGTGATTGGGCGTGGTTAAATGGCGGCGATAACGCTGGTTGGCCGCTGCTGCTCTCGAAGCCACGCCCACAGCGTTCTGTCGTCGTGTGCTTATTTATTAATTTTTTGACGAATACGCGGGTCATCAATAAGATTCGTTTGAGCAATTATGTAACTGTACATTATTGCAACCGGTGTCCCTTGTGACCGAACCGATCTGACCCGCGCCGTACATAATATATAGATCCGGCCGATACAGTCGTACGTCTCCCGACGTCAAATGTGCTTGGTGCAACATTTTATTCGTGACGAACGACTCACGATAGTGCCGACCGACTGTATTCCGGATCTCATCATATTATGCACACAACTAGTTGGACTACTGCCCAGTGTGATGTCAGTTTTACATAATATATACCATTAAGAAATATTATAGAATAATTAATTTTATTTAAGAAAAAATACATTGAATAATTAAAGAAAATACTTCGCGTGGCGCGAACATATTTCCCCCCGGCGAACTAAGGTTCATGTTGGATAGGTAGCATTGCCAGTTTCGTAATTGGCCGCTTCATAGTGCTGCCCCTTGTTTTGACAGTAGCCACTCGGACTAGTCCATCAGATCCCTGATGTAGCTGAGTGATCCTACCTAAGTGCCAGTCCAGGGGTGATTGGTTGTCCTCCTTTAGTATAACCAAATCTCCTATTTTGAAATTAGCCATGGGCCTTGACCATTTGGGTCGTTGCTGAAGAGAGTTAACATAGTCACGGCGCCAGCGCAGCCAAAATTGCTGAAACATTCTTTGAACCAGATCCCATCTTCGTCTTGGACAACTTATTGTCGGTTCATCGAGCAGGGTTGGCTCTGTTAAAGTCGTTAACGGACGTCCAATTAGAAAGTGCCCCGGGGTTAATGCCTCCAGGCAGTCAGGATCATCGGAAACTGCCATCACGGGCCTTGAATTTAGCACCGCTTCAATTTGCACTAGCACTGTGTGTAGCTCCTCGAAATTAAGTATACTGTCTCCGATGCATCTTCGTAGATGATATTTTGTTGATTTAACTCCGGCTTCCCACAGGCCTCCAAAATGGGGGGCATGAGGGGGAATAAATCACCAGTCTATCCCTTCTTGGTGTGAGTATTCTAATATCCCCTTCCTAATAGAATTATTGTTTAGGAACTCACCCAATAATCTGTTGGCTCCGATAAAATTTGTCCCATTGTCCGAATGGATTTGAATAGGCCTTCCTCTGCGAGATATGAATCTGCGCAGTGCCGCAAGGAATGTCACGCTAGTGAGGTCTGATACCAGTTCTAGGTGAATGGCACGAGTGCTAAAGCAAACGAAAAGTGCCACGTACGCCTTGGTGAGGACCCTGCTCCTTGTTCCTCCATGCCTTATGGATATTGGACCAGCGTAATCTAAGCCTGTGACATGAAATGCTGGAGATGGGTTCACCCTGGCGGCTGGCAAAGATCCCATCAACTGAGTCGCTGCCTTGATTTTCCATCTGTAGCATTTCATACACTTGTGCGTGTGAAGACGCACTGCATTTCGTCCACCGAATATCCAATATCGCCGCTGGAGTGAAGCCAATAGGTGTTGGGGTCCAGCGTGCATCAATCGTCGATGCTCGTAATCGACTAGCAGCCTTGTGAGTGGATCATCGGCATTGAGTATAATGGGGTGGCGTTCATCAAAGCTCGCATGCGCATGTTGTAACCGACCACCAACTCGCAGGATCCCAGCTGCATCAATGAATGGGGTCAGAGACCTCAGCTTACTGCTGGTTCAGATATGTTGACCCCGAGCTAACAGGTTCATTTCTTCCAAAAAATATCGCTTCTGAGCCTGTTTTAGAAGTACAGTCAGCGCACATTGAAGCTCACCCACAGTGATGGGTCCATACATGGATTCATTTTTCGCTCGGCAATTGTACTTAAATCGCAAGCAATATGCGATTATTCGTTGTAGCCTTTCTAATTGGTTATACAACATTGCCAAGTTGAGTTCCGTAGATACCTTCAAGGAGATGGTGATTTGAGATCTGCGTTCAGGGATCTCTGATTCCAACATGGCAACTTCCGCGTTAGGCCATTGCTGTTCGTCTGCCTGGAGCCAGAGGGGGCCATGCCACCATGTGTTGCAATTTCTTAGTTTTTTTGGATTTAAGCCTCGGCTGACATGATCGGCCGGGTTGTCATTGGTGCCTACATGGTGCCAAGAATAACTGATGGTGCACTCCTGAATCTCTGCCACTCTGTTTGCTACAAACTGCTTCCACTGGTTGCTACCTTGGTGATTTTTAATCCATGCCAGGGCTATGGTAGAGTCACTCCAGATCACACGTTTTGAAAATGTAAGCGGTACAGCTGCGGTGATCTTGTTTCCTAGGCGCGACGCCAGTAGAGCAGCGCAGAGTTCAAGGCGTGGTATGGTGGTGACCTTAAGTGGTGCTACACGGGATCGTGAGCATAACAGTTCACAGCTGATGACATTATCTCTGCCCTTGCTTCTAATGTAGACACAGGCTCCATATGCGGCTTCAGATGCATCGCAGAATATGTGTAATTGAAGATCTGTGGGTTCACTCACTTGGATTACTCGACGGGGTATTCGTATTTCCTTTACGTATATCAAATGGTTGTAATACGCTTCCCATTTTTTATGGTGATCATCTGGTAGTTTGGTGTCCCAACCAATTTTTTCGCGCCACAGTTCACGCACAAGAATTTTTGCTTGAACCACCACTGGCCCTATGAGCCCTAGAGGGTCGAATAATCTGGCCATTTCAGACACCATCCTACGCTTTGTCCATGTGTTGGTGTCATTGAACAGTCTCATAGTGTAATGTATTTCATCGTCACGGGGTTGCCAATACGTGCCCAATGTTTTTGTCGAGCTGCTGTTTCGTTCGTGAGTGAACTTATGAATTTCTCCGAGATCCTCCGGAGGGAGGTTTTTCAGCAGGGAAGGATGGTTTGCGCACCACTTGCGGAGTTTAAACTTGCCGCCATCACATAATTGGATCAATTGATCTCGTAGTTCCAAAGCTTCTGCCAATGTATCAGCGCCGGTCAGCACGTCATCCACATAAAAATCCTTGCTGACGGCTGTGGCTGCTAATGGGAACTTGAAACCATCATCCTGAGCAAGCTGAGCGAGGGTTCGAGTGGCCAAGTAAGAGGCTGAGGAAGTGCCGTAAGTAACCGTTTGCAATGTAAAGACCTTTAAAGGTTGTTCCGGACTCTCCCTCCAAAATATCCTTTGAAGGTGAGTCTGTGATTTCATTATTCTTATTTGTCGATACATTTTTTCCATGTCCCCGGTGAAGACATACCGGTGAATCCTGAACCGAGCAGTGATTGCAAAGAGATCGTCCTGTACCTTGGGTCCCACCAATAATGCGTTGTTTAGGAATGAACCTTTGGTACCTCTTGCGGATCCATCGAACACCACTCGGAGCTTCGTTGTTTCGCTGTCAGCCTTGATGACGCTATGGTGCGGCAAGAATACCTCCTGCGGATGCGTCTGGCCTGATGTAGGGTCCTCCTTCATATGACCAAGGTTAATGTACTCCCGCATGAAGTGGACATATTCCTTGTGTAGTTTAGGGTTGCACTGCATACGTCTTTCCATTATGTAGAATCGTTTTTTAGCCATACCCCGCGTGTCACCGATACAGTTCAATTTTTCGTAGTCAACCAGTAGTGGCACTGTGTAGCGCCTGTCTGCGTTGCGCCTTGTATGCGTTTTATACGTTTCTTCGCATCGTGACTCGATTCCAGTAAGTTTATGCACTGGACTTACTTCTTCCAGTTCCCAAAAACTCTGAATGGTTTGATCCAAATTATCGGTGGCAAGGGCCATTGCCGCAGTAGCCGTTGATTCCTCGGCATTAGATTGGCTGATGTTTCCTGATGCTATCCAGCCAAGCAAAGTATTCTGAAATAACAATGGTGGATTTGACCTTTGTTTGACCTGGCCAGGACGAATTAATTGGTAGAAGATTTCAGCTCCAAGTAGCATTTCCACACTACCGGGTGTCCAAAAGCCAGGATCAGCTAGTTGTATGTCCCCGGGTATTTGTATTGAGTTTGTAGGAAACCGACCTGGTAATTCTCCAATAATTTTTGGGATTACGATGAACTCTAGGGTTGTACAAAAGGTGCTGACCCTAGATTTAATCTGGCATAGGACACTGCGTGTAGATTGATAATTTGACTGCGTTATTCCGATAATTGACGTTGAAGAATTTCTCCCTTGCAAACCCAGGCGTTTGACAAAACGTGAAGTTATAAAGTGGCATTGTGAGCCGGAATCGAGTAATGAGCGTGCTGAATGGGTTGTACCCCAAGGGCTGGAGACAAGTACGACGGCGGTTGATAGGAGCACCGCGGTCTGCTGTAATTGCTATTGTTGTGATTCAATAGCATTTGAGGCTGTTGCCACTTGAACCTCTGTTGAGGCCATGATATGCAACAAGGTGTGGTGTTTGCCTCGGCATGTCCTGCAAGATCCACGCGAACATACTCTTGACATATGGTCCGGGCGGAGGCAGTTGTAACACAGCCGTTTCGATCTCACGTGTTCTCTTCGCTCGCTGGCGGGCATTCCCAAAAATCCTTGGCAAGCGTACAGCGCATGCTGGCCGTTGCATAACGTGCATGATGAAACTGATTTGTCAGTAGCTGCAAAGGCGGTGGTGTAAGATCGCTTTTTCGGTGCTAATTGTTTGTTGTTGGTGGCATATGGGCTTGGCAGTGCAACCTTGGCATAGTTAGATCTTGTCTCAATGGACTCTAGGGTTAGACACCGCTGATTCAGGAATGACAGATATTCTTGTATTGAAGGAAGGGAGGCGCTGGAACGGCTACTTTCCCATAAACGGTGGGATTCGACGTCTAATTTTTCTACCATTAGGTGGATGATTATGGCGTCCCAATGTTCTACCGGAAGTTTGAGGGCCGTCAACGCTCGCAGGTGACTATTTATACCGTTCTGGTGACTTCTCAAACTGTCTAATGAAACCTTCGTTATTGATGGCATGCTGCATAGTGCGTGGATGTGCCCTCCGACCATTTTACGATGGTTGTCATATCGCTCTCGCAGCTGCTCCCAGGCGGGTAAATAGTTCGCAGCTGTTGTCTCCAACGATTCGATGACTTGTGCCGCTTCATTACGCAACGAGGATTTGAGATAGTGCAATTTCTGAATATCCGAGAGGTCCTTGTGCCTATGGACGAATGAATCAAATGTGTCCCGGTAATTCAGCCACTTTTTGTAGTCACCGTCAAATTCCGGCAAAGAGATTGGCGGTAGTCTGATGGCTGATTCAGTGTTGGGCAGTCTTGTGTACTCTGCTGCGCCTTGGATGCTCGAGGTTTGGCTTGCTCTCCTTAGATTGGTATGAGCTGCCTCAAGAAGAACCATAGCCGGTGATATTGCTGCGTAGTAGGCTGTTTCTACAGCTGAGCGTTCTGCCAGCTGCTCTTCACGGAAATCCAATAACTCTATCTGAGTTTGACCAGCGAGGAAGTCCCCGTAGGAAGCTTCAAGTCTCGTGGTTCGCATACTTAGTTCCATTCTTGTTGATGCATCTGTGAAGTTGCCGCTGTCAAAGAATTTTTGAAAAGCAATGATTTGCCTTTTCATAACTCCCCGACGACCGATGAGATCCTTAAGTTCGGCAGCCATTTTTTAATCCGGCCCGAAGATGACCAATGTTCCGGCGAAGGAATAAATAAGAGTGGACTGTAATTTGTGTAATTGGTTTTATTGCGAATTAAATAAATTGTTATAATTTATTTGTATGTTGCTTGTAGTCTCTGAGTAGGTCTGCCTGGGTAGGTCTTACTTCAGAGGCTCCGTTGAACAGACTGCCCGTTTCTTGCTCCGCACTGGCATTTATACCCTGGTTTCGCACTCCGCGTCGTTGCAGGAACCGCCCATGAAATGTCTGTGGTTGGTGATTGGGCGTGGTTAAATGGCGGCGATAACGCTGGTTGGCCGCTGCTGCTCTCGAAGCCACGCCCACAGCGTTCTGTCGTCGTGTGCTTATTTATTAATTTTTTGACGAATACGCGGGTCATCAATAAGATTCGTTTGAGCAATTATGTAACTGTACATTATTGCAACCGGTGTCCCTTGTGACCGAACCGATCTGACCCGCGCCGTACATAATATATAGATCCGGCCGATACAGTCGTACGTCTCCCGACGTCAAATGTGCTTGGTGCAACATTTTATTCGTGACGAACGACTCACGATAGTGCCGACCGACTGTATTCCGGATCTCATCATATTATGCACACAACTAGTTGGACTACTGCCCAGTGTGATGTCAGTTTTACATAATATATACCATTAAGAAATATTATAGAATAATTAATTTTATTTAAGAAAAAATACATTGAATAATTAAAGAAAATACTTCGCGTGGCGCGAACACATATATATTATGATAAGATATTCAATACCGGATGTTAAAAAATAATCAGTCCAACGTTGATATATATATACAATATTATTATTATTATTATTATTATTATACCACACTGTATAGGTATTATAATATTATATATAATACTTCGTAAGTATTATATTCGATTTAAATTTTC